CAAGAATAAAGCTCAAATAAAATTTATGATCAAGAAGACAAGAATAATGCAAATAGGATGAGAATTAATGAGTAATAATGATCAAGAAGTGTGTCCCATCAACGGGAACAGTAGTCTCTATTTATAGAGGGCCCTCATGGCCTTTTTCCTACTCATTTTCGCAAACTAGCCATTTTATAGCCGTTATTTTTGTCTTCTGTACAGTAGGTAATCGATTACCATTGAGTGGGTAATAGATTACCATGAAGGGTAATCGATTACCATTGTTGGGTAATCGATTACCAACCTGTTGACAGGTTGGATTTCTCCCTAAAATAGTTTTCTCTTGATTCACATCAGTTTCAAATATTGTTTAAACATTTTATGAACATTGAAAATTGTATTTTCATGCTAGAAATGTATTTGAATGTCAATTGATGTTTTAATGCATGTATTTAAAAAATACTTTGAGCTTCGTTCTTGTAAGGAATCAATTTACAAATAATCCTAAGTCCTATAGTATATTACTCTGAGTTTGGACTTAGAGATTTCTCTTGAAGCTTGAGTCTTGATCTTGTTTAGACTTCTTTTTTATGGTTGCACCTTGAAGCTTTCTTTCCATGCTTGTTTGTTATCATCGAAATCGTTGAACCTTTATATTCTTTTCATAGAGTGCATTGGTTCCACACGTACTTTGATAGTACGAGCCTGAGGCAGGATTCCAAAGGTTACCCACATCTCAATGGTACCTTTGGGTTGTACGCATTCTCCATCGAAGCCAATTAAATCCGAACATCCATGAAGTAGATGTTCCTCTGGGATGTGCATCGCGCGAAAAGCATCCCAGAAAATAATATCATTTGAACTACCATTATCAATCATAATACATTTTACCTGGAGATTAGCCATGCAAGTTGAGATTACCAGCGCGTCGTCATGGTCAGGAATGATGTCGCCATAGTCATCATCGTCAAAACTTATGGTCTAACTTTGCTTGCGAGAAGTGGAAGGGCGAACATGATCTCGTACTATCATTACTGATTTTAGATGTTTTGTACGCTGAGATATAGTTGCACCTCCCCCTGCTAATCCTCTGGCGATAGTGGCTAAAACTTCTGTCGCGTATTTGGTAACTGATCGCGGTGTTGTTGCTCGATTCGCTGTCTGTTTCGTGGTGGAGTCCCTTTGCGACTGTTAGTCAAAGCCTCTCTTCCATTTCTGCAATAATTGTTGCGTGCAAGGTTATATTCCCTTATGGAATGTGCCCTTTGTTCATTAGGGGTCGGGTCGCGATCTGGGCTTCTATCGCATCTTCTTTTTCGTCTTGTATTCCCTGCAGCTAGAAACGAATTCCTGGAGTTTTCCCTCTCTTATGAGTGCTTCGATAGTACTTTTGAGCGCAAAACATTTTTCAGTTGTATGTGTTTTGTCGTTATGAAACTCGCAAAACTTGGTTTCATCGCGCTGAACTCTTTTTGTCATTGGAGGCGGCTTGTTAACCCGTACATATCCTGTTTGGAATACTTCTTTTAGAATCCGTCTCTGGGATGTATTTAAGGGAGTGTAATTGTCGTATTTTCCCCACTTTCTCTTTTCACGGAATTTTCGTTGAAAATTCTTCTGGATGTCTTTTTCAAAGTTGTCTGTGTCGGCCCTGATGTTGGAAATTTCGCGTGATCGCTTATAATCTTCTAAGTTGATAAATTTTTCTGATCGCGCACGCAGTTCTTCTATGGTGCGTGGTCTCTGTTTGGCTAGCGTCATAGAGAAAGGGCCTTCTAGTAATCCTTCGGTGATGATGTGTAGTGAGACTTGTGGATCCAAGTCTCTGACCAAGAGCGCTTCATCAAAAAATCTGTTTAAATAATCACGCAAAGTTTCATTGGATCCTTGACGCACAGTTTTTAGCGTGTGCGTAGATTTGTATTGCGCCTTGCTCGTTGCGAATCGCACGAGGAATTGGTTGGTTAAGTCCTCCCAACTTTGTACCAAATTAGGTGGTAGTGCTGAGTACCACCTAAGTGCTATTTCTTTCAGGGTTGTTGGAAACAATCGACATGCTATTGGATCAGCCACGTCTTGTGCCATCATGTTTGTCTGGAATTGTTTCAGATGCTCTTGCGGATCCCCCTTTCCATTATACTTTTCTTTTGTAATCTTGACGTCCCGAGGAATTGGGATGTTCATTATGCAGGGGATGAATGGGTGGATGATTCGAGAGAATGTCCTCGAATTACCATGATAATTTTTATTCTCATGAGTATTTTCATTTCTTCGCCCTTCTTGTTTTTGTGACCCGAGGGTCCCGGGTTACCAGTTGAGTGCTCTTGGGGTGGTTCACTTTCGTCAGAATTTTAGGGATTTTTCTCCTTTTCATGCTCTTTTTCTTTTTCTTTTCCCTTTTCTTGGTTTTTTTCTTTGTTCTTTTGAGCTTTTTTCAATCGAGCTAAATCTTGATTCTGCTGGTCAATTTTCTTGTTTTGTTGTGTGATAAGGTCCAAGAGATGTTGGGGTGTCGGTGGGTCATCCAGATGGATGGGAATTGGTGCCACTGAAGAAGCTGATTTTTTACGGGAAGCAGGGGTCTCCTTCCGCTTTCCTTTGGAACCATTCTGGGATTTGCTCCGTGTATCAACCATGTTTTTAGAAGAAGATGGGTTCTAACTGATAGGTTCCCATAGACTGTGCCAATGATCAGACCAGATATGGAGTGGGCTAGCCAAACTGTATCAAGTTTGATCACACACGGTTGAGATATGGGTTTTAGTGCTTGGTCTTGGGCCTTCAGTCAGGATGGGATCAAATTGCGTATCTGCCTTTTGCGGTAGCGCGTTAAGTTTGGCTAGGGGGTACCTGCGAAGACGCTCCGATGCTTAAGTCAGTATCAGAGGCAGGTGATGTATGTTGTTAAATGTAAAGGATGATCGTACCTGGGTGTTGAACCCTTTGTTTATATAGTAGTTATGATGGCGGCTTGGCTTCTGATTGGCCATGTTTGGGTTGCAGGTTAGTACTAGGATCTGAGTTGCCTTATCTTTGTTAGTGTCTAGTTGTAGAGTCACGGTAAGCTAGAGCTGTCTGTTGCTTATTGGCATAAAGGCGCGGTGGGATTGCCTTGGACGTTAAGTTTGCTTACTTGAGAGGGTTTCATCCGCGATATGGTTATCGCGACTTGTCTGTCGCGATGAGGGCATTGCGGCTTACGCGCGATAGTTGTCCGTCGCGCTTGCTCTGAATCCTTGGTGGGTTGGGCTTTTTCGTATGTCATTGGGCCTATATTTTATCCGGATCACTATATTAAATGAATTTATTTTATAACATAGAAAGTCTATATATAATTTGTACTCTTATTTTTTATAAAATATTTTTGGGAAAAGTTCACCTATGCTCCTGTGGTTTGCTTCAGAATCACCTATGCTCTTGTGATTTTTTCTATCACATATGCCCCTGTGGTTTGTAAAAAGATATGTTTTTTTATCACATATGCCCCTGTAATTTTTCATTTTTAAGTGATTCTAAAGCAAACCACATAGATATCAGTGAACTTTTCCCAATATTTTTATCTCCGCATGATTTTTAGTTTGGTAGATTCTAAACAGAACCTAACTAACAGTATTACCTAAACGTATAATTACAGATTTGATATAATATTTGGATTTTATTGAATTGTATTGTAATGGTAGGTGATAAATTAAAAATACATATATGATATCCAGCGTTTTAGAATAATTTATATAAATTGTAATTTTTGTCTTGCAAGTTTCTACATCAAAAACTTGATTTTTACAACAAATTTATTCCAAGAATGCAAAAACAATACCGCAATCAAAATAAAAAGAAAGAAAACCTCTACCTCCTCGTATATTTCATTCCTATAAAATCTGGAAAATTATATCTTTTCACTTAAAGCCTAAAATATATGGAATTGAATGAACATAGGGAAAACATTTTCTTCTTTTAAAGGAGAAATTTTTTCTCCTACTAATGACTCATAACATAAGTGGGTTTCATCTTAATTTTTTTTTTTTTTTCTCTCTTCACTATTTTTGTAAGCTCCACTTATGTTATGAGTCACTAGTAGTAGAAAAAAATTTCCTTTAAAAAGAGAAAAAGTTGTGTTATTTTGAAAAAGAGATAGATAAATGAGAAAAGAGAGTTGACAAAAAAAAAATAAAGATGTGGTCCCACATTTTTGTGAGAGTGAAATGACATAAGTTATGTCATTTAAAAGGATAAACATTTTTTCATATATATATATATATATATAAAGGCTTTAATGTTTTTAAAGTGAATGTAGATAGGTCGCTTCCAAATCGACGTCGTTTTGGGTTGAAAAATTAAAAAATTATAATGAAAAAGACTATTATAACCCTTAAATAAATTATAATTACAAAAATACTTTAAATTTCGTCTCAAAACGACGTCGTTTTGGGCTCACTGTAAATAAGTTATATACGTTCATCGTAGAAAAAGCAAACACATATATAAAATGAAATATAACAACACAAATACAAGGAAATAAAATATAGGGCTAAAACCCTCTTATGCACAAATTAGGTATGATCATAAAATCAGTGTCTACATCTAAGCAGAATTGAAATATGTAGCAAAATTTTTGCCAATGAACATTGTTATTGAATGAAACCAGCTCCTCATCACTGATAAGGAAAGCAACACGAAAATTCAAAAGGATAATGAAGATCCACAAATTCTATTACTGAAAAAAAAAAGAAGTCATTTAACAGAAAATTGGCATAAAGTGGTAAATTGGTAGAATTGGAAAAATGGAACTGAATTGAAATTGAATCCCCCGGCACAGATTTGCCATTAAATGCTTTTCGACTAACCCATTGATTACCATTGTGAGTTGTGTGTGTCTCTGAACTTCATAATTGGTCAGGTGGCCTCAAACGACTAGTCGCGTCCCCACACAGAAAGATGAGAGAGAAAGAGAGCGAGAGAGCAGCTTCATCATACCGTCATAAATACGATATGTTAAACAAATTATCCCAAGGTTGGGATGGGATTAACCTAACCCGGATTATAAATATCCCACCACTTTCATTCTCCTCAAAATTGGGTTTACCCCACCAATAACCCACTACTTTCACATGCGCCTACTGCCACAGCCCCCATTTTTTTAATGCAATAAAACCAGGATAATGTTCAACTCTTTGATCCTTCTCTCTCTCTTCTCTCTCTCTCTCTCTCTTTCTTCTCTCTTGCTTCTCCTTCTTCCATCGTTTTCTGCTTAAAGTCTCAATAGTACCCTCTTCCTCTTCCTCCTCAATTGACTTGCGGCCACAACAGAGGAAGACCCTTTTCTGGATTTTCTGTAAGGTTCTATCTATTTCTTTTTCCTTGCTTACCCTTTTCACTGTTCAGCTTCTACTTGCTATATTCTTGGTCAATCAGATTCGTGGGCTTTTGTTGTTGTGGTTTGGTTTTGTGCTTGTTCCATTACCCAGTTGATCTCTGATTGTGAAGTCTCAATTTTTTTGTGCATGTTGAAAATTTTATCTGTTCTTAGCTTTCTCATGTTGTGGGTGTTATTTGCTTGATAAGTTGCCTCGTCAATCTAGCTAATCTTTCTAGGTTTTTCACCACCCGTTTGCTGCTTGCTTTTTATGATTGGTTGATGAGAGAATCTTTTTAAATCATCATTGTCTCATGGTCTCTGCTTATGTTGCTCGAACTTTCGTGGATGAATTTGATCTACGAAATCGGGATCAGAGAGGTGTATTGTTAGAGAGATATAATAATAAACCATAATGGTTTTTTGTTATATCTCTGTAACATGTATTGAGTGATTCGAGTTTTTGGATATAAGCAGCACAGTTTATCGTTGTAATTCAAAATTCTCAATTATTTTGTGGTTATTAATCAATTTAAGTTTTTTTTATTCATTTTTTAGTTTATATTAATGTTGCTGGATCTGAATGGAAGAAGTTTCTGGTTTTGAAAATTGTTGGCTGGTAAATAATCCTTAAAGATATAAGTGCTTATTTTCTGATCTAGAGATTCTCTGCATCTTGAAACTATTTGATTTTTGTACCATCTTAATTGTTCTATGTTTTATTGCTGTTGGCAGGTGTAAAGGCCTTTATAAGTTAAGAATTTGTTAGCTTGAATTGGTGTATAGTGCTAAAGGGTGAAGTTTGAAACCCAGCTTGCTACTGGCATCATCAGAAGCTTATAGGTTGAATCCATTTTTTTTTCTGGACATTTAAGCTATCTTTTGGGGTAATATTCCATAGGAAATGATGATGATGTTTGATGAGATGGGCCTATGTGGTGATTTGGATATGTTATCTGCTCCCCTTGGAGAAGGGGATATTGCTTCCCGGCAAGCTGAACCAGAGGTGATAGTGGAGGATGACTATAGTGACGAAGAAATTGATGTAGATGAGCTTGAGAGGAGGATGTGGAGGGACAAAATGCGTCTCAAGCGATTAAAGGAACAAAGCAAGACTAAGGAAGGAATTGATGCAGCGAAGCAGAGGCAGTCCCAAGAACAGGCAAGGAGGAAAAAGATGTCGAGGGCTCAAGATGGAATCTTGAAGTACATGCTGAAGATGATGGAGGTTTGTAAGGCCCAAGGATTTGTTTATGGGATAATTCCGGAGAAAGGAAAACCTGTGACTGGGGCATCTGATAATCTTCGTGAATGGTGGAAGGATAAAGTTAGGTTTGATCGCAATGGTCCAGCTGCCATAGCCAAATATCAAGTAGATAATGCAATCCCAGGGAAGAATGATGGATTCAATTCTATTGGTCCGACCCCACACACCTTGCAAGAGCTACAGGACACGACCTTGGGTTCTCTCTTGTCAGCACTCATGCAACACTGTGATCCCCCTCAAAGGCGGTTCCCATTGGAGAAGGGCGTTCCTCCACCATGGTGGCCCACTGGAAATGAAGAGTGGTGGCCTCAAATTGGTTTACCTAAAGAGCAAGGTCCTCCACCTTACAAGAAACCTCATGACCTGAAGAAGGCATGGAAGGTTGGTGTTCTTACTGCAGTCATCAAGCACATGTCTCCTGATATTGCCAAAATTCGGAAGCTTGTGAGGCAATCCAAATGCCTTCAAGATAAAATGACAGCCAAAGAAAGTGCAACCTGGCTTGCAATCATCAATCAAGAGGAGGCCACAGCACGAGAGCTTTACCCTGATTATTGCCCACCATTAGCCTCAGCTGGAGGTAGTGGATCTTTGGTCATCAATGATTGCAGTGAGTATGATGTTGAAGGGGGCGAGGATGAGCCGAACTTTGATTTGGAAGATCGGAAACCTGAGAATCTTCACCCATCCAATCTTGGGATGGAGAGAATAAGGGGAATACTGCCAGTTCAGCAGCCTTCTTTCCCAATCAAGGGAGAGGCCGTAACAAACTTGGATTTCATTCGGAAGAGGAAGATCTCTAGTGACTTTCACATGATGATGGATCAGAAAATTTACACATGTGAACACCCTCAGTGCCCTTATAGTGAAGTTCGCCTTGGTTTTCAAGACAGGAGTTCTAGGGACAATCACCAATTGAATTGTCCTTATAGAGGAACTTCTTCAGATTATGGTGGTCAAAATTTTCATGTTAATGAGGTAAAGCCAGTCATATTCCCACAGTCCTTTGTTCAACCCAAATCTACTGCTCATTCTGTTAATTTGGTTCCACCATCATTTGATCTAACTGGACTTGGAGTTCCAGAAGATGGCCAGAAAATGATTAGTGACCTTATGTCAGTCTATGATACAAATATTCAAGGTAACAAGAATATGAGTTGCAGTAACCGTGTAGCTGCAGAAAATCCAAACATTGCTCGGCCCGGCATTCAGCAGCAACGGGACAATATCTTTCGTGGTCAAGGAATTGTTATGGAAGGAAACTTCTTTGAAGAAGCCAGCATGTCCAATAATCATCACATGTTTGCAAGAGAGGAAGGTCAATTTGACCGGTTCAAAGCTTTGAATTCTCCATTTGAGACCAATCAAAACAACAATAATTTCCCTTTAATGTTTGGGTCCCCTTGTGATTTGGCATCCTTTGAGGATATGCAAGGAGTAGGGATGGATGCTCTTCAGAAACCGCCAGATATTTCAATATGGTACCAGTGAAAATGACAAAAATGAAATTGGGAAACTCATTTATCATGGACTCTTTTGTTTTCCTTCAAAGGGTGGGCTTCCCTGATCATGTGAAGTTCCCTTGGCAGAAAGTTTTCACTGCAATTTTCTTGACATGTAATCCTGTAGGTTAACTAGATATTTTATGTTTGGCAGGTTTGGTATGGGTTAATAAAAACTTGTATTGTTCCCGTAATTTAGCCCTTTGGTTATGTGTGTTTTTACTTTTTACCAGTGTAGTCTTGTTACCTAAAATTATTCCATGTAAGACTGTGTTATAAATAAGATATGAATTCTCTTCTAAATTTTAGTTACACAATAAGGAATCTGAATTTTGTGATCCGGTTGTGGGTAAATGGTTGGATAGATGAAAAGGTTTGTCCTTTATTACATCTTTCACTTGTGCTTATCCTCTCCCATGTGAAATGGACCCCAGAACAGTTGTTTAGCATATGCCTTTTCGATTGCGTGATTAGATTGTATGCTTGTGTGGTGGGGTCCCTTTCTCAAAGACAATATGTTCACATCTTTATTCAGTCACAGGTCAATATATCAACATAAAGGGTTTTCATTTTTCATCTCCATCGAAAGTTCCTGTAATGAAAGTGCCATATCATAATTGACCATGGCGGCTGAACATAGATCCATTAAATTTTGGGAAATATATTTTTATAGGGTTATATTTTTAGAGAAATAAATTTTTTACATATATAAAAGAAGAGTGGATTTTATCTCTATTTTTTCTCTCTTTTCTTATTTATGCGTTTCACTTGTAATTTTATTTTTATAATATAAAGTAATTTTTCTATAACATAAAAAAATTATTTTCCATTTTTATATCGTATGAGATAATTTGTTTCATATAATACACAAAATAAAAGTGAAATTTTTTTTTTTTGTTTTTGCTTTCTCTTTTTAGTGATTTTTTTTTACGTTGCATAAGATAAATTGTATTATACAATACAATAAAGGTAAAAGTATGTGTACTTTTAAAGGACACAAACTTAGATTCTTTTAAGTGAGAAATATACAGAAAGAGATTTGAGCCCTATTGAAAAATAAAGACAAAAAAAAAATAAAGATGTAAATCCTATCTCTTTGTGTCTATTTCTCTTTTAAAAGGATTTAATTTTGTGTCGTTTAAAAAATATATATATATATATATATATTTTCTATTAATAAATATATTTCCCTTAAATTTTTATAATTTTCTTGTCATGTATTTTGCAATTCACCTACTTTTCTTTGAAATTTTGGGTGCTTGTTTGTTTGAAAATTAGTGACGCATCATGTCGGTTCTGTCATAAAATTCACTGAATAAACCATATTGTTTGAAAATGTGCTGTAATTAATAGCAGCACGTGTTCAATCTTGCAAATGGGTAAGATGGATCAGTTGTGACTCAAATAGTATGTTTGGTCTAAGAAAATGAAAATAAATAATTTTTTTAAATTTATTTCATTGTTTGGAGTTTGGACCAAGAATAAAATAAAGGAGGGAAGAAATTTCCAAAATATTAAAATGTTAAGTTGTATACAAAATATTTGTTTCATTTAAAAATTTAAATTTTCTCATCTCTCTTTTATATTTTATTCTGTAACCAGTGATACAAAGTGTGACTGGGATTGGGTTTGGAAAAGGGGGTTTTCTAACATTACATATTTGCGAAGTTACTGAACAGAGTCCGAGTGAAGTTTTTTCTTTTATTGAATTCTCTTTGGTTTTTTCTACGTAAACTTTTTAATGAAAAGTAGTATGTGGTTTGTCTTTTTATTACAATTTAATTATATATATATATATATATATATATATATATATATATATATATATGGAAGGCTATATTTACAATATTTTATAACTATATCTTAACTGTTGATTTTCATCAATCAACGATTCTTATTTAACAAATTAAATCCATTAATTAATTATCAATTCACAATAAATAATAATCATTAATTAATGAAAATTAACGGTTAAGATATGGTTATAAAAAGTTATAAACAAAACAAAAAATAGGTTGTAAGTATAACTTATAGGCTTTTTGACCCTTTTGCCCCTCATTAATTAATTAATAACCAATTTGCCCCTGATCAAGAACTATCCACCAACCTGCCCCCTTTTAGTCGACTAGCTTGCTGATTTAGTCGAGCAAATGGTCAATCTTCAGAAAGTGGACTACCGCAAATTTAGTCGACTAAAAAATCATCTTAATCGACTACATTTTTGGGATATTTAGTCGACTAAGTAACGATATTTAGTCGACTAAATGTCGACTGAAACCCTATTTTTCCATGTTTTCAGTCTCATTTTGATTGTTGTTATTGTGTAAACCTAAATAGCTCCCTTTGTTCATGTGTAATCCTCTCAATCCGATTGTATTTCATCCCACCATCTCTACAGACCTAATATTGTGAAATCATTGTCATTGCCCAATTCCAAACCCCAAAATCCGAACCCAAACCTCCAATTTCAGAACCCAAGTCCCAATTTCGTGAGGAAGATGAGCACAAGTCCAAACATGTATGTGACAATGATCTACTATGATGGAAAGCATTATGAAGGCCCCAATGGTGTTCAATTTGAAGGAAAAACGAAAATGTTGAAAATCAAACGGGGCACTACATACAATGAGTTAAAGGAGAGAATTCAGCAAAAATTGGGTCTGCAAGGCAGCCAATGCGTTCAACGGATGATTGCCAGGGTAGAGACAACAGTTGGTAAGGATGCTATTTACTACATTGGTAACGATATATGTGATGATGAAGATGTCGAATGTGTCATAGATGCAATTGTTGACCGAAAATTTCAAAATTTTATTGAGATATATGTTGAATTAGATTGTGGTCAATCTTCATCTGCACCCATGCATACAAGAAGTGAACCGTATTTTGGTCATGAAGAAAGAGTAGTCGATTTATCTGCACCTGCACATGTCATAAGTCAGATAACACTGCGGGAAATAGATGAGGATGAACAAGATGCCGATATGGACAGCGATGAGGACGGTGAACCTGAGAGTGTTATTCCGCTAGGTGACACGTCAGATACTGACGTAGAGGGTGATTTCGACGCTGACACAAGCTCACCATCCCCGGGTTCGCAGGTTACGAGACCACTTCGTGTTGACCCTGTTAGCAGTGGTAAGATTTGTTTTTTAAAGATTTAATTTAGCAATTATTTTTTTTGACATGAATGGTATTGACGGTGGCATTATAATGCATCCATAGGTTCTGAGGTCGAGCCATTTTGGAATGAAAGCTCACATTATACCTTCATTAATTTGGCCCACCCTAATGATGAGACGGAGATATTGTGTGGTGACGATGATGATCACGGTGGCTGGCAATTAGGGGATCCTTTATATTTGTATCAGGAGTTTCGTAGCAAATCTGAAATGCAACATGCAGTCAAATTATATTGTATGAAGGCTCACCGTACTGCCGTTGTGGCAAAAAGTGATGACCATAGATTTGTGATGAAGTGTCGACACCATAATGATGGATGTCCCTGGTATGTGAGGGCATTGTTGCCGAAGAATGGAAATACTTGGGTGGTTAGTAAATGGGTTAAAGAACACACCTGCCTAAACCAAGGTCTTACCCGGGATCATAGACAGTTGGATTTTGATGTGATATGTGCAACCATTATCAGTATGTATTATTCGATATATCTAACTTCCTAAGGTATGTTTACGTTAATCAGTTTGTATTCTGACTGTTGGTCGGTGTTTTTTTTTATATAGGTATGTTAAAAGAAGATCCATCATTGAAGCCAGTTCTTATTCAAGAGAGGGTACAACGTTTGTATGGATACAACATATCTTACAGGAAAGCTTGGAAGGCTAAAATGAAAGCCATTGTCAAGTTATTTTGCGACTGGGATAAATCGTATGCATTCTTGCCTGGTTGGCTGACATACATGACGCAGGTTAATGTGGGTTCTGTGTTCAAGATTGATACGGACCAATGTGTTGATGAACGTCGAGTGTATACGGATAAGGCTGTCTTTCACCGAGTATTTTGGACCTTTCACCAGTGCATTGAGGCCTTCAAATATTGTAAACCCATAATCCAAATTGATGGCACGCATTTGTACGGTAAATACAAAGGAACTCTTTTGATTGCAACTTCACAAGATGGAGATGGTTACATTCTCCCTATTGCATTTGCTATTGTTCCTCCGGGTGAGAGATTGGATGATTGGTCGTGGTTTCTTAGCCTCATGCGTTTTCACGTCACGCATAAGCATGGCATTTGTCTAATATCCGATCGTCATCCCAGCATCATCAGGGCTGTAAGAGATCATGCCGGTTGGCAGCCACCATTTGCGTATCATGTGTTTTGTCTACGCCACATCGGAAGCAACTTTAACACTAAGTTTAGAGATGTGGAATTAAAGAAAACCCTGATGAAGCTAGGTACAATCTTCTTTTTAATATGTACAAATTGTATATAATTCATCCTTTTGTATCTAACGCATCATTTTGTATTTCAGGGTACTTGAGTTCAAAGATTCATTTTGATATCAGATTCCAGGAATTTATCGACAGTAACCCTCAAGTAGCTTCATGGATAGATCAGATTCCCAAAGAAAAATGGTGCAGGTCTTACGATGAGGAAGGTCGGAGGTTTGGTCACATGACGACTAACTTATCTGAGTGTGTGAATAAGGTCCTGAGGGGTGCACGTAATTTGCCTATAACAGCATTGGTGAAGATGACTCAAAGTAGACTTGTTGAGTATTTCGTCAAGAGACGTGAAAAGATCCAAAAGGCAAAGGCAAAGGGTTGGAGAATTGCAAAAAAAGTTGAGGATATCATCCAAAAAAATGATCAATTAACAGTGAGCCTCCGTGTGCGGGTTTTTGATAGGGACCTGCAGCTATTTGAAGTTGAGGATGCCTACAATCAATCAACTCATGATGCAGGTGACATAATGAGGGTGGACTTGCTCAATCACAAATGTCAATGTGGACGGTTCACATCTAGAAGATTTCCTTGCAGTCACGTCTTAGCGGTGTGCAAGGTAGAAAAGTTGAACCACTATGATTATGTTGATCATGTGTTCTCAATTGCACAAATTGATAAGGTATATGCTGCACATTGGTATCCAATGGGAAATGAGTTGTTGATTCCACAAATTGATGGCCCAACCATTATCCCAAATGCATCTTTGGTACGTGCACAAGGAAGACCCAAATCGTCAAGGATACAGAATGAGATGGATTGGGTTGAGTCTCAACCGACAAGCAGTCAGAGTAGATGTAGCCTGTGTAAGCAAATTGGTCACAACA